ACAGTGGAATTAGCAGGCGTTGCATTTGATAAACATAAATTAACTGACGCTGGATACTTTACCGCTTAGATGATGGTGAAAACTTAAGTTTTTAGCTTGCCTTGAAAAGGCACGCACACACGAGTCCTGGGCAGTTATTCAGATTTAAATTCTTTCGAAGTTTCCGCCTGTCACAGAATTAACTATCAATACTTATGGACGTTTTCGACCCACGACTTTCTTACGTCAGGTAAAGTAATGGTACTTTATTTTGTTATTAACAGGCGTTCCGGCAGATTTGAATAGTTCGTTTGACCCAGTTTCAAAAAAACTAGTCGGCATTTAGTGGGATTTGAGCCCACGACAGCCAACACTAACCACCTGAGCTACGTGGCCTGACCGGGAGCCGTGGATTTAATTACGTTTGGGTCAAGTTACTCGCTCAGCCTACTGCAGCGTGTGGAATCAACCAATGGTGGTGCAGTAAGCTGAGTGCCAAAGCAGGATTTTCTGGGCAATCAATATCGAGCGCCGAATGGCTACCAGGCTTGCCTAATTAATCGGTGTTTTGACAGATTTTAGTAATCTGTCGACCAAATCGTGAAAAACTCGGTCACCTCTGTGGGATTCGAACACGCGGTAGAAAAGACATAACTTTTTCTCCAGCCAGCGCCTTAACCACCTGAGCCACGTGGTCCTGACCTGGAGCCATGTGTTAAATCACATTTCTACCGTGAGTTCGAATCCCTCCGAGGCCACCGAGGTTTTCGCAGTGAGGCTAAGTGAATTTAGTATGTTGGAGTTGTTGTTTTTTAAGTTATTCGGAACCCTTATGACTCTTTCTGGCTATCCCTTTCGCTAAAAAAATCGTAGCCCCGTCTTACGTCCATTTACCTGGCCGCGGCTTATTCTACTCTTTCGCAGAGCATTTTGGTAGTTATCACTAAACGTTCATATCAAGCAGCGTTAGCGCTTCGAAGTAAACTCGTACTCCTTTCGCAGCTCAAGTGTCCTACCTTTATCCCTTTTCGCTGTGTTATTTCCTTCCCTTACCATATATCTAATCATCCAGGTACGTTTGTACACACGCCTTCAGAAATACCCTTATGGCTGTCCTCTTCGTCCTATGGGTTTTGACGACTATCATCGCGATTTCCTTGGTCGTTTTTCTCATTGCTAAACGGATTTCACTCCGAAAAAGGATTTCTGATGAGCACAGGATTTACAAAAATTGTGTTCTTCTGGCATTTTTCCATCCATACTGCAATTCTGGAGGCGGTGGCGAAAGAGTCTTATGGACTGGCATCTCAGCCATACTCCAGCGGTATCTCTCCCCTTTGTCTTATCGCCTGATCCTCTTTCCGTTTCTTCTAGTTTTCCCAACGTATTCATTTTCATCTACACGAATGATAAGGAATGTTTGACTGCCCCAGTAACTGTCTTTCGCCGCGTGCAATCCGTTTTCGGAATAGATGTTCTACAGTTGAAGGCAGCCTCAAGGATCCAATTCGTACCATTGGTTACGGAGCCTCTGCTTCGCCCCGCCCGGTATCCCCACTTCACCCTTGCCGGTCAGGCACTAGGCTCGGTTATCGCCGCCCTAGAGGCGGTCTTTCGCCGGCCACCGGATATCTTCCTTGACACGACAGGATTCTCATTCACGATGCCAGTCTTCGCATGGCTGGCCGGCTCCTTTTGCGGTGCCTACGTCCACTTTCCCACAATATCTTCTGACATGGAGATTCGAGTGCGGGAGCAGGGTCTTTCGGGCCTGACGAGTGAGGGCACCGCGTACAACAACTCGGAGAGAATTCGCCGCAACAAGTTTCTTACTTCTGCCAAACTGGCATATTATCGTCTTTTTAAAATGGCCTACTGTTGGACCGGATCGAGGCCAAATTGTGCACTGGCAGCTGTTAACTCTTCGTGGACAAGGAATCACATTAGCCGCATGTGGGGCTGTTCACCATTCTTGCTTTATCCACCCTGCCCGGTAGAAAGTCTGGCTGAGAAGAAAACCCCGGTTGAGGCTAGGAAACCCTGGATTATCTCTGTCGGCCAATTTCGACCGGAAAAGAATCACAGGGTAAGTGATCTGTACGTCCTTTCCCTTCCGACTTGTCTAGAGTTTTTTAACCCACCACTTTGTTTAAATTGGGAAGAAGACTACCGTCCCACCACTTAGTGACCTTTGACAAAGTGACCGTGTGGTTTCACGTCTCACAGGGTAAGTTAACCACTAAACGGCAAGACGTACAGTTTGTGCGGCTGCAACTCATCATTACATATACGGACGCACTCTTCCCAGTTGCTTTTGATTGTGGCAGCACGTAGTCCTTCCAACTTCCAGCGGTTTTGTACCAAACTTAATAAACGTGCGAAAGGCGGCCGCTTGATGCCACCTCAACCAATGCGTCAGATCTCATTCCCACTTGACAGGCCCGCTCTTACCACAATGTCTGAGAAGAGAGAGATTGTCTTTGATATATCACGGTGCGCCAAATCTCGTGAATAGAAAATCTGTCAGCCGACAGATGACAGTCAATCCAAAATATCTCTCCATAATACGAGGTCTGAATAACTAAAGTATACTTTCTCCCTATTGAGCTACCAATGCGTGTGACACGGATAAAAGGCGACCTGTTGCCACCTCAGTTCGTGCGTGTGATCTCATCTGAAATCGGCTTAGCCCCCGGTTCTTGATGGGGATATCTGGAAACCTCTAAGGGACGAATAAGCAGATGGCGGGTAATAGGGAACACGAATATGTGCAGATTATCGGGTGCTGAGGGTGATGCAATGCATGTTGGGTAGAAAGGCTGCCGGATCTAACCACCCTCGATCGTGTCACGGCCACTACTTCTTCATATATGCTAGTCTGGAGCGATCTATCCCTCTCTATAGCTACGCAGGTCGAGTACCGAAGGTCCAAGAATCATGTCCATGTCATTACAGACTTCTTTAGGTCAATTTTTCAGTCGACCAACTGAACTTGTGGGGGGGGGGGCAACGAAGAACGTATCTAAACCACGTCAGACGACGTCCGTACGGTATTTATCTGTCAACAACATGACCTCGGGATGTTTGAGACTGTGCGCTTCAGGCTGATAGCCACCAACCACGAGACGTGCCTCCTAATTGAGGATGCAAATCCAGAAGGTTTTGGTTTTCACAGCTTTAATGACGATGATGATGAATGGCAAAACTGCCGCAGAGAATAGGGGGCATGATTGATTGGTTATACTAGCTTAAAAGGTGTTTGAAGTGATCACGCCAGCTCTCGACCTTTTCGGAGTTATCAGCAATAAATGCGCGATTGACCTCACGAGTAGAATCTGTTAGTGCCGGATATCTACCGCTAACCAGGTGAATGAATTGGTAAAGTTTTCTTGTATCGCCGACGCTTGAGGACTGCAACAAGAAAATCGCTACTCCAATCCATTCGGTCGACTTTGTGGTCACGTTTGGTAGAATAAATTCTCAAGCGGTCAGCGCAGACAAATGTAAGCTTTTTGAGGTGAATCAGTCATCCTGCTGCTGCCGAGCGAATCCAAGAACTCTCTCAGTCACCCCTTGAACTGACCATTTAGTTCTACCCCGGACTGAAACATCGGTTGTAAACTGCCGTGATTTCACGCCATCAAGACTATTTGTGGGGCGGCACTTTATGTGCTATTGGGGAAACCTTTTAGGTGCTGCCGGTTTCGGCACCTCGCACCGATCTGTCCTCACGAATCTTTACACTTGCGGGAATTTAGTCAATCCAATTGGCCATAGAACTATCGTTTGAATATAAGGTTGGAAGATATTTACAGCAATACTGAAGCACTTGTTGGTGGCTAACAGCCGATGTTGGTCAGGTAAGCTCAATATCCACTTGTAGTTGGTTGAATGAGCTCTCGATCGGTCAGGACAGACAAATATAAATTTTTTTGAGACGAATCAGTCATCTTGGCGCCGCTGAGCGAATTCAAGAACCCTCTCAGTTACCCATTGAGCTAAGAACTTAGTTCAGTTTAATTGACCGTGCAACTATCATTTGAATGTAAGTTTAGAAGATATTTGTGGCAATACTGAAAGCCCTTGTTGGTGACTGGCAGCCGGTGCTGGTCCGATAACCGAAACATCGCTTGTAAACTTCCGTGAGACGATTTAGCAGCCGATGTTGGTCAGATAAGCTCAATATACTCTTATTGTCGTATGAGGATCTGAAGCCAAAGGGGTTAATAAAGTAATTGTTTGACGACCATTCCAGTTCCCGGCGACACTCAACAGATCACAACGGGGAAATCTTTCAACTAGCTCTTGAGACGCAGATAAAAGGATTGTTTATTGCGGCGATTGGGCTGATGTTGTTGCCTAAACTGAGAGAACAGAAATGTCGGTAAAATGCGCACTCAGTCGCGCACAGGTCGACTGGTCACCATGAAAGCAGTGCATGATTCAACTGTCGCAAAAGAGCGATCGTCACACTGTGTCTCTTGGAGGAGTAGCATGGGCCACTATCTTATAGGGTGAACTGGAAGCCGACCGCGAGAACCCGGGTCGATGATCAAGCTTCGAATACGCAACACACATCCACGTGGCATTTATGAAGACTGCGCGCCATCTCATTTTGGGTACAAGGTCGTGGAGCGTTCGCGCATTCGAGTATCCAATCAGGGGTCCGCTCCTGATTGGGTAGCTCAGCTCGCACCTCTGGACTAGGGCTGCGGAGGGCGTTTATCCCCGCGGACTCTGCAGCACTGACTGTGATGCCATGGTCGGACATATTCTACACAAGGTTTCTTGTGAATTCCGAGTGCCGGCGATCTCCAGCGGCCTCCCGAATCGTCTGCTCGAGGTTTCCTTCTCCAGTTATTTCGATCAAGAACCCAATTGTGACTTGTACTTGATACGGCTACGATCATGTCTGATCTAGCCGGCCTCGATCATGTCACGAACTGTACCTCTCCACGCGTGACGATCCGCGGCAGCAGATCTGGACAGCTCAACTCATTCCCTTCGCCAACGACGGAGACCAAATGCCGAAGGTCCAAGAATCACCTCCATGTCTTGACGAACTGTGTAGAGCCAGGTTTTGAAGTGACCCCCCCCCCCCCTTCGACGCCTCCAATGGGGCAACGGTGCCGGATCGAGAGCAGTAACACTGAGCTCCTGAGGTGGACGACGAAGAACATGCCCGAACCACCTCAGTCGTCTTTCTTGGATGGCCTGAGTTATCCTTGCGATGCTGTCGCAGCCAGCGCGGACTGTCTCATTTGAGATGAAGTCGGTGAACTTCACTCGAAGGATGGTCCTCGAGCAGTGGTGGTCAAATACCTCCAGTTTCCCCTCGTCATCCACACGCAAAGCCCAGCATTCACAACTGTAGAGAAGGACAGATCGGACAGATGCACGGTACACGCGAATCTTAGTGGCGATGGAGAGGTCACGTCGGTTCCTTAGGCATTTTCGAAGGCTTGAGAAAACCCAGCGGGCAGCATCGATTGGGGAGACAACGGCGTCCTTACTCTGTCCATTAGGCAGCAGCCTCGCCCCGAGGTATTTAAAACTACTTACTTCTTCAAGTTGACAGCTATCAACCAATTGTGAGACCAACCAACTCTCCAAATGGGACTTCACAGTCGCCGTGCCACATTGTCGACGTGGCGTACCAGACACTGGGCTATCCATGCTTGGGGGGAGCACTGTTGCCCGTTAGTCCGCAACCGCTTATTTGTCAGGTCTAAAAGCCTGTTTATTTCGTAGTTTGCCTTTCTGTGAGGACCGTTCCGCTATCCGCCCCCCCCCTGGACGCGTCGGGTGACTGGAGTGTCTTGGCGTGCGACCTGCTCTCTAACTGCGCACATAGCAGGGCTTCTATCAGGAAGGCTGGCGTCTCACATGAGCATGAGTTTCGTAAATTCCACGCCAAGGATGGTCCCTAAAACTCCGAGCCCCATTCCGATGGAGGACTGAACAATTCTATCAGTTGACATACGTCAAAGTACCGTGGAGAAGAACGCCTCAGTATGGGCCACATGTCTTCTTTCTCCTCCCCTTGAAGCACCACTGACCTGTTCAAACATTTCGGTCGAACGGTGGTCATATTGTTTGAAAGCCCCCGTCCAACGAGTGCCACACGCATGTGCGGTAATATTTATAGACTCACGCGGGCCCTGTACAGCTTTGCTAACAGGTAAGGCCGCCTTTCACCAGCGAGTCTCACTCAGTCAGTCTAGAAGAATTAAGTGCTGTTATGACGTTCGACTGACTACCGGCTCATCCACAATTCTTATCTTACCCGCCTTCCACGAGCACACTTGAAAGAAGTTCAAAGTGTGCATGAGTAGCGATGCCAAAAATTTTGCGACGACTCAGCAACTGTCTCCCGATACCGATAAATCCTGCTCTTTGAAGTTGTTTTAAAATTCACTCGTTAGAAGTCTAACAAACGCGCGCTATCTTTTACTCTTTCGCCAAACTCACATACCTCTGCCTGGTATCGAAGTTACATCTCACTCCCTTCAGCTGTCACGTTAAGCGCAACATGGGTATTCCTGTTTTCCACCGAATCCCCCACGAAATTGACCCCCCGTCGCAAAATCGTTGTCTGACGAGCTGCAGCTTGACCGAGTCTTGAACTACCATATGTCCGATTTCCTGCCAGGCCACGCCGTAACCACCCCTTGTTGTGACACTAATTTCTGAATTAGCTGATACGGAAAACTTGACACGGTCTTCTGATATGACTGTTAACTGGGCGTCCATAAGGTCTTATGTCGAGTCGCATCGGGTGTCACTGAGGTCTCGGCACGCTTTTTTATGCAATGTGCAAAAGGGATCAGCTCCTGAGCTAAGGATCGGTCCTAAAACCAGCAATCCCGGTTATTGTCAATAGAAGCGAAGAGACGAGTCCCAGGAAGCAGTCTTGAAGAAGGAGACACGATCACTGGGACAAGAGCTTTATTAGCCTGTCGTTTCGGATTCCTGCTCGAATCCATCATCAGAGACAAAAGCAGATACGGGTGGTTCATGCACAAGGGACTGCAGTATTTATAGGATGCAGTCGCCATGCTACCGCATACCTATGAATATTCACGTGTCCCCTCCCCCTCATCAGGGATTGTTGCACGTGGTGTGATGACTGTTTGGTTGCCAACATTTGCGTCGTTTATTGCTGCAAAGGGACGAAAGGCCTAACCGCACGAACACCAAATTTTGGCGAGAGCTTCCGTATGTCAAGAACGTTTCGGAAGCTGTCGGCCGCCTACTCGCACCACTTGGGGTTGGAGTTGCACACAGACCGGAGGCAACCATCAGCCGTCAGGTAATGAAACCAAAAGGCCCGCTGCTACGGCAAGAAACGTCTGGAGTCGTTTATCGGATCTGGTGCAGTTGCGGACAAAGCAACTACGTCGGAGAAGTCGGAAGACAGCTCCGAACGCGAATGGCCGAGCACGCTGCAACGGTGCGGAGAAATGACGCCAGCTCTCAAGTTGCGGCTCATTCGACGGGTTCCGGCCACACATTCAAATTTGACGAGGCCGAAATTCTCGCTAGAGGTGACAACCGTGTCAGCCGGGAGCTACTTGAATCATGGTTTACAAGTGCAATGATCTTCCCCTTCCATACTCGGTGCTGAGACTTCGCCCAGGCGGAGTAATTAGCCACGCGGTGAGCGCACAGGTGAACACTTTTCCCAACACCAGGGTCGGTGGGTCAGGTAGTCGAGCCATCATCACACCAACATCCAACGCCCGTGATTAAATTGCGGCAATTAACGACGCGTATGTCGGCCTCCAAACAGTCAGCACACCAAGTGCAACGATCCCTGATGAAGTCGGCGGGAGCCGTGAATAGGTATGCGGTAGCATGGCAACGGCATCCTATAAATACTGCAGCCGCATGTGCATGAACCACCCGTATCTGCTTTTATCTCTGATGATGGGTTCGAGCAGGAATGCGAAACGTCAGACTAATAAAGCTCTTGTCCCAGTGATCGTGTCTTCTTCCTCTTCTTCTTCTTCTTCAAGTCCCAGTCAGAGCTTTTTGTTGTGTCGATGCTAGCAGAAGTGTCACCAACGTGAAAAAGTGCAGTCCTCCATAGCCTGCAACGTGTACAAAAGTGCTGTCGAATTAGCCGCTCACAATGGCTGCGCCGGCATGCCGATCAGCGGTGCCACCCATATGAGGTGCCTGGAGGTTTCTGTCATCAGCAAAAAGTGTGACCTGGAAGGCGCACCACGGAAATGCAGGCGACACCAGCTCTGCATTGTATCGTTACCCGCATTTATAAGCTCAATGCTTTGCGCCTTTGCCCCCTTAGTCTTGCAAACAAGCCAGCTTGCATCTTTATCGTCCGGCCCAACAGTTCGGCCGGCTGTTGCCGACGATGTCCACCGTGTGCTTCACACCGCGGGTGAGAGCAGGGACCGCGACTTGTGGACATACGCAACGTCTGCCGCACACTCTTTCCTCCCCAGGCTCAGTCGAGAAAACCGCAGACAGCAGAGGCCGCATATGGCTGGCACCCGCACCTAGGTGTACCACCACCCCTTGACCAGGATTTTCAACAACATGCAGTAGGTGGGCTAACTCATGAAATGTCAACCGGAATTCCGCAATGCCTTTTCGTTTCGAAAAGATTCATCAAGTAGGGTTGTAGAGCTAATCAGTATACTTCTATAACAATTCAGTTACCTCAGAATACCCGCTCTCGAAAGAACTTCTTTCTGGCTGCACACAAGGAACACGCTCTGTTAATAATGACTACTTAAGTAGTAGGCACGTGGCCTCGTGTTGCTTGAAAGTCGTCGACTCTAAGGCCTTCTAGCCCTGGGGTTGGACACGGTGTAGTTGAGAGGACATGCAAATGCATTGTAGGTTTGTTCCGCAAATTGCGTCTCGAATGCGGAACTCTACAGAAGGGCCGGCGTGTTACCCGAGGAAGTAGCGGTTGATCGCACATCATTACAGTGAGTGACGGATCTCATGAAATGTCGACCAAAATTCGAAAATGCCTTTTCGATTAGGAAGAATTACTTAGGTATCTTTACAATATTGATTATCAAACGACATAATCCTATAATGTTTCGGACTTGCCAGGATGTCGGCTTTTGAATGCATTTCTTTTTAACCTCCTACAGAAACCGCACTCGGTAAGAAATGACTACTTAAGAGGCATGCGTTTTTGACATTGATTTCTGATTGTCTCATAAATTCAAATATATTTTATAGAAAACATGCATACAAGTATGCCTTCGTTCGCTCGTTCGGTAGAGAATCACGTTATCTTTCCATTTTATACCTGAAGAAAGGGTGTATTTAGGTTTTGAGAAAGTTTCCCAATGTCCGAATAATTTTGAGCCTGATCAGTCGTCGCATTAGCTTTTAGCGATTTCAGTCTACAAGGTGCGTGCTTTCGGCGTAAGGAAAATCACGTATTCCTCTATGCCTTTAAAAAGATACCATGTAGAGTTCACAAAGTATTGCAGTGGATGCGGACCATGTTCTACATTTCATGAGAAGCATTGGCAAGCGGACATGTACAATGCTGTATGAATGGACATTGCACGGTCTTAAAAATCTCACAATTGGAAACTTTTCCAAAAGCTTAATACACTCTTTCTTCAGGTATAAAATGTAAAGATAGCATGATTCTCTACCGAACGAGCAAAAGAACGCATATTTTTATGCATGTTTCCTATAAAATATATTTGAATTTATAAGACAATCAGAAATCAATGTCAAAAATGCATGCCTCTTAAGTAGTCATTTCTTACCGAGTGCGGTTTCTGTAGGAGGTTAAAAGGAAATGCATTCAAAAGCCGACATCCTGGCAAGTCCGAAACATTATAGGATTATGTCGTTTGATAATCAATATTGTAGCGATACCTAAGTAATTCTTCCTAATCGAAAAGGCATTTCCGAATTTCGGTCGACATTTCATGAGATCGGTCACTCACTGTAATGATGTGCGATCAACCGCTACTTCCTCGGGTAACACGCCGACCCTTCTGTAGAGTTCCGCATTCGAGACGCAATTTGCGGAACAAACCTACAATGCATTTGCATGTCCTCTCAACCACACCGTGTCCAACCCCGGGGCTAGAAGGCCTTAGAGTCGACGACTTTCAAGCAACACGAGGCCACGTGCCTACTTCTATTAGCGATTATCAGAAGGTAGGAGCGGAGTTCTCGATTCGATCTGGTCTGCGGGTAGCACGCATCGATTTGTTTCACCAGGGAGCTTCGGATAGAAGCCCACGTTAGATAGCATATCAGCGGGCCGCCCTCGATCGACCTGCTTAAAAGTGCCTGAAATGTTAACCCGGTTCAAAAGTTGGGAAACTCACTGCAGTAGGTGGGTTAACTCGTGAAATGTCAACTGAAGTTCCGAAACGCATCTTCGTTTGGAAAAGATTAATTAAGTAGGGTTGGAAAACTAATTGACGTGCAGTATAATTATATAATAATTCAGTTACCTTAGGATGCTGGCTTTCGAATAAACTCCTTCCCGGCTGTCGTCAAAATCTATACTCGGCAAAAAAGACTACTTATGTAGCATGCATTTTCTCATTAATTTTTAATGCTCTTAAAAATCCAATTATATTTCATGGAGAACATATATAAAAATATTCATTCTCTTACTCATTCGGTAAAAAATTACATCTCCTTCCAATTTTATACACGAAGGAAGGGTATTATTCGGTTTTCAAAAACTTTTCTAATCTCCGAATAACTTTGAATCCGACCTGCCGTTACACTTGCATTCAGGGTGTCCAAACTATAAGCCATATATTTTCCGCGTATAGAAAAGCATGCATTTTTTGACGGTACTAAGAGGAGACCGTATGGCGTTCATAAGATTTAGCAGTTGATTTGAGCCATATTGTTAATTTTACAAACCACATTGCTAAATGCAGAGACACAATATTTTTTTAAGAACGGGCATTTCACGACTTTAAAAAATCTCACGATTAGAAGCTCTTTTAAAACCGGATTATACCCTTCCTTTGAGTATAAAATTGGAGGAAGACCTGATTTTATACCGAATGGGCGAAAGAATGAACATTTTACGCATGTTTTCCATGAAATATAATTGAATTTTTAAGAGCATCGAAAGTCGATGAGAAAAATGTATGCTAGATAAGTAGTCTTTTTTGCAGAGTATAGCTTTTGAAGGCAGCCGGGAGGAAGTTTATTCGAAAGCCAGCATTCTGAGGTAACTAAATTCTTATAGAATTATGCTGCACGTTGATTAGTTTTACAACTCCACTTAATTAATCTTTTCCAAACGAAGACGCATTTTGGAATTTCGGTTGACATTTCATGGGTTAACCCACCTACTGAAAATCCTCTGGTTTGACTACCGATTTATGCTAAAGTATGCGACGTAACTCATGAAGTAATAAGTGCAATTTAGAAATGTGATTTCGGTTAGAAGGCTCTACTTCAAGGGAATTGCACTACCGGTACTATGTTACACCATAATCCCAAGATACTTCAGTCACGTAGGACGCCAGCTCTGTAATGCGCATCCTCTAAAATCTTGCTCGACAAATACTGCTTAAGTAGTGTAATTTTTTCCATGGATTTCTGACGTCTTTATACATCCAAGCATATTTTATAGAAAATAGACGCAAACATATCTTTCATCGCACCACTTTTATAATAAATCACGTTTCCAAAGTTTTCGGATTTCGGTCTTTAGCAGCGTTTGCAATTATCAGATTTTTAAGAACCTTGAAAGATTTTTAAATAGGATCGTATCTATCCACTTACAAGTCTACGTGGCCCATATCCATTGCAAAATGTTCTGAGCCCTGGATTGTATCTTTTTAGCAGCCTAGAGGAATGCGTGTTGTTTCCTAAGTGGAACATGTACAAGTTTTATTTACGCGACCCTACATGCAACAGCAAGTGGGGTTTTAAATTATTTGGGAATTAAAAAACTTTGAAAAACTGGACTATATTGGTTTTTTGGATAAGATATACTTTACTATTAAAGGCCTCTGAGAGACGATGTTTTCGTGCATACTTTCCGTAAAATATGTCGGGGTTTTTAAGGGCATCGACAATCGATAAAATGGTATATTATATTCGTAGTAATTTTTCATGAGCAGATTTTGCAGGCGACTAGAAAAATAAGCCTTTGAAGGCCGCCATTCTGCTCTCACTGAAATATTTTGAGATTGTGCTGCACGATTTTGCCGTCCACTGTTCGAACCGAAATCGGAGTTTGTGAGTTACGACGCCGACCGTGGGCGGACCGCCATCGACTGCTCACATCTCCCAGTAGTGACAATCCTTAGACTGCCATGATTACAGACGGACTGTGTTCGCTCGGCTCTGTCCTATGCTCTCAGATAAGGCTCCTGCGATCCTATGCTGACAGAAAAGCAACGTACCGACACGGTGTGCCTTATTCTGCTTTAAGTGATGTCGGTGGCTTCCATTGGCACCGCAAAGCCCCCCGTAGCATGGCGAGAAACGTCTGGAGTCGAAAGCAAGACGACCACGTCGGAGAAACAGGAAGACTGCTCCGGACTTGAGCACGCGGTTTCCAGGTCGTGGCTCATTCGACGGTACAAGGCCTCAGTTCTAGCGGGCCGCGAGCTTCGTGAGTAATGCTTCACTGGTCCCCAGTCCATTAACAAGTGCAATGACCTCCTTCCATGTTTGGTGCTGAGACTTAGCCCGGACAGAGTACTTAGCAGCGCGGGGAACGTGCAGGCAAACACTGTTTACAACGCCAGTGTTCGTGAACCAGATGGTCGAGTAATCATCACACCAACGTCCAATACGGGCGATGCAATCGCAGCGAGTAGCAACTTGAATGCTGGCTATCGAGTCGTTATCGCACCAAGAGCAACCATCCTTAATGTAGAGGGGAGCTGTTGATTTTCGATTGCGTCCTACAAGCCCTGCAGATTCGTATGCGTGAATCACCCGTATCTTATACTGTCTCCAACTCTTGTTACCTCATGAGCCGGTGAGTGCATCGTCAAAAAGCAGGACTGAAGTCTGTGTGTCGCTTTTCTGAGCTTTTTCGAGAAGTTAAAGTGCCCTACCTGTCTTTTTGTGCAGCTGCAGATTCTCGCCTTCGCGAGGTTTATCAAGACCCTCTCGCCTACAGGACCACCACCCGACTGCCCCTACCGTTTGATTCTAGTTGGTGGTTCTCGCGATGATGCGGACGCCGTTCGGGTGGAAAAACTGCGGGAGCTGGTGGAACAGCTGGGCCTTAGCGATGTGGTTGACTTTCATGTTAATGCCGCCTGGGATACTCTCGGAAAGCTCTTTCAACATTCTTCCATCAACTTGCATTCAATGGTGGATGAGCACTTTGGTATTGGTAAGTAGCACTGGTCTGATTTGTTACATCCTTTTTTGCTTGGGTATAATAGTGTCTTCTGCCCGTACGATTTCTGATCTTCTAACCAAAACCCTGTGCTGTTAATGCTATCTATTCTGTCTACTTATATTTTAATAGTAGCTTTGGAATGGTCCGTTCACTTCCCACCGATGCAACTCGGCGACGTAAGCTAGCAGTACACCAGCACATACGCCTCACACGAATCCGTCTCACATAACCCACCACAGGGACGAAATCGGCACGTCTCACATCAGTGAGAAGCGTGTTCTTTGGTCTTTTTCCATGTGACCTCTGTGACACTTGAACGCATGTGAGATCCGAGCAGCCCACCCGGTCCCAAATTTTGGTGGCCTCTTACGTATGTGAAGAACGTCTCGGAGGCCGTCAGTCGTCTTCTCACTCCACTTGAAGATGGGGTTGCACACATTAGGCGCCAAGTCATGAGGCCGAAAGACCCACTGCCACGGCAGGAAACGTCAGGAGTGGTTTGCCGGATCTGGTGCAGTTGAGGACAAAGCAACTACGTCGCAGAAACTGGGAGATTACTCCGGACGCGAATTGGCAAGCGCGCAGCAGCAGTGAGGCGGGGAGACGCTAGCTCTCAGGTGGCGTTTCATTCGATGGGACCCGGCCACATCTTCAAGTTTCAAGAGGCCGAAATCCTCGCAAGGGGTTGCAACCGCGTGAACCGCGAGCTGCTTGAGTCATGGTTCTCAGGCCCGCAATCCATCAACAAGCGCAGTAACCTCCCGTCACCGTATTACGTGCTGAGATTTTCCCTGGGCGGAGAATCAGTCACGTGGGGAGGGCGCGGACGAGCAATTATCCCAGGGACAGTGAGCCAATTTGCCGAGCAATCGTCACACTAGCATCCAACACGGATGACGAAATCACGACCATTACCGACTCGGACTCGGACTGACAAGCCACCACCGCATCATTTACGACCCCAGCGGTGATTGCGAGAGCTGTTAATTACAGTGCGCATATGGTCCCACGGCAGCCACGTGCAATAAATACTGCACTCCTTGTGCCATTACTACCCTTATCTGAGACGGTTACTGATGAATGGTTCGAGTGAGAATCCGAATCGTCAGGCCAATAAATTTCTTGTTCCATTGATCGCATTTTCGTCTTCTAAACCTTGTGTTGTTCAGGTCGTGTGTGCACGCATATACTGGCAGCTTAGCTCTGTCAGCGAATGCGCCTGGTGTCAGCATCAGCCGGTAGCTACCGGCAATTAAAAGGTGCTCCCATGGGTTCACCCATATCCGGTTTCTTGGCAGAGGCCGTACTGCAGAAATTAGAAGGCAGGTGTTGTCTACAAAATCCCATGTTCTAGTTGTGATGCCGTCTATTTTGGCCAAACCGGGGAATCTGTCTCAACCCGTATACATGAACGTCATTTAGCGGTAAAAAGACGCGACCATCTATCTCTGGTGGCCATGCCCACACTGGACACTGGGCACAAATTGGCATGGGAAAACACTCGCATTGTTGGCGCCTGTCCAATATGGAAAGGCCACGAATTCCTATAGGCCATGCACTCAGATGAGGCATGCATCAATCGGCATATCGATTTAGATGCCACATACAAAATCGTTATGGACAGATTCAAACTGAATCAACCAATGCCGAGAATATGACTTTAACCAATCATAGAATCCTTTGTCAGACTCGGTCTAGAAGTTAACTGTTTTTGCACGCCCGTTGTCTGAAGATGAGCTGGGTAACCAGTCTCGAAAGTTTACACAATAAAGTTTACGGTTTCCCAAAGAATTCCATCTTCCTAAACATATATTCAGATAAATACATATCACTGGCAGTAATATGACTGCATGCCTGGTCTCTAGCTCGAGCTCCAAGGCGTAGCTGGACAGGCATGTCCCGCAACCTGATTAGTGAATGATACTCTCATGATAATATATGCATATGGGCTCCCGTATCTGTCCGAAAGCTTGGACGAACACGTTGGTCATTGATCATTCTCCTCATTTTTTGCGTATGTATGCTAGTTAAGTACGGTCTTGTGATTGAGGCCTTGTGCCGACTGTGCCTCGTCTGCTTCTCGATACTTCCGTCGCCCTCTTTACTCTGGCTCGTAGCACCTTTTTGAGTTGAGTTTCTTATCCTGCGCTACGGACGTCTGGCGCTTTTAACTGTTGTCATCACTCCATTTACATTTTTTCCATCTTCATTTTTAAGACTTTTGAAACCCCCGCTTCCTCCCCCCCCTCCCCTTAGGCATAGTGGAGGGCATGGCCGCTGGTCTCGTGACGATCGCTCACCGCTCCGGCGGTCCACTCACTGATATCATTGGTCCATCTCAAGGTCACCTGCCCGCTGCGGCCGGTGAAGCGCTACCAAGTAAGCCCACCGTCGGCTTCCTGGCCACCACGGAAACGGAGTACGCACGTCTGTTTGAGTACGTCCTGGTGCGAATGAACCCAGCACAAAGACAGGCGATCGGCGAGGCCGCTGCTGCGCGCGCCAGCACCATGTTTTCCGAGGCGGCGTTCACTCGGGGGTGGATGGGGTTCCTGCAGTGCCTTCAGGCATAGGCTCCAGCCTCTGGGAATATTCCTCTTACCGCGCTCTACTAACCCGCTGTTGTTCCTTCCTCGGGCTGTGGTATTTGCATATCGGCTTGATTCCTCCCAACTGATGTCGTACAGTAATTTGTTGTGTCTAGTGTTCTTTCATGTACACCGGTCGCCTTTTGCGTCGTCAGTGAACCCCCACGGCAGTGTATTTTGCACCATCATGTTGGGAACATTTGCTAAAATAAACCTGCTTACGTTGCTCTAATTACGCATATTTGTGTTAGGAGACTTCTTGCTGATTTTGTAATTATGCGGTTTGCTCGCTTTCTGTGATTCCAGAACGCACGTTTTGAAAATCATTTCTACAATGAATCCAGCCGTCTTTCTGATGAAAAAGCGGCCTTGCTTGATGCTATCTAGCCGTAATGCGTCCCTCTCAGTTGTTCAGCAGACCTGAGTGGAATCGTCCCGCACATTATCGAACCGTTTTCTCCCGACTTTTCGCCATAAGGGCTAACGATGGACGGAATCGAACGCGGCGGCAAAGTCAACAAAGCAGACGACCGTCGGTGGCTGGTGGCTATGGCGAGATTTGAGAATGCGCCTTAGTCTGAGTACCTGGTCCGCGCATCCACGTCCAGCACAACATCCGGTTTGGTTGGGCCTCGCCCTAGAATCACGCACAGCCTGGAATCGCCTGAGTAGAACAATAGCGAAGATCTTCGAAGCAACGGCGATGAGGCTGTTGATTTTGTGATTATGCACTTTGCTCACTATCTGTGATGCCAGAGCGCGGGTTTTAAAAATTATTTCTACAATGAGTCCAGCCATCTCTTTTGTTGAAAGGTGGTCACTTGCCCGAGCCTTGTGCGATGCGATTTAGACTTGACGTGTCCCTGTCAGGCGTTTAGCTGGCCTGAATGAAATCGCCCCACACGGGACACATTGTCGAACCGTTTCCTCCCGACGTTTCGTTACGGTTCACTTGCAACCTCATCTCGTAGAGATGGTCCAGCGGTCGGCGCCCCACGTAGTCATTGTCGCCAGCACATCCCGTTAGTCACGTCTCCTAACGGGCATATAGTCCGGCAATTGCCATTGAAGTGACCTCTGGTGCATCGGCATTGTTCCACTGTGGTTTGGAAGATCGAGAAGATTTAATGATGCGGAGATTGTATTCTTTAACGGCTTCAAATAGGATAAATGCGTAACTATTGCATTTACCCGCATACCAACAATTCGGCACTGCCTCTAAGGTGGGATGATTTGTGCCACTCGTGCGTTGAAGTCACAGAGCAACTAGCTTGTCCGCTTTCCTATGCCAGTTTGTCCTTAGTGTGGCCCTGATCAGGCCTGATCTAGCTGGCATCGCGTACTGTACCTCTCTAAATATGACGATTTGCGGTAGCAGATCTGGGGGGAGGGGGGGGGGGTTGGACCCATTCCCCTCATCGGCGGTGGAGACCGGACGCAGAGGGTCGAGGAATCATCTCGATGTCTTTACGGACAAAGCCAGATTTCAGGTTGACTTCGTCTTCAAAGCCAGACCGAAGGCACCAACCCTGAGGTCATGGGTCGTATAACGGAGAACGCGCCCAAACCATTTCAATCTTCTTTCGTAGATGGCCTTAGACAACCTGATGTTGACACAACGAGTGCAGACTTAGTGTACTTTGCTCAAAGGGTGGTTTCTATGCAGCGGTGTTTAAGCACCGTCAGTTTTGGAGGACTGAATTGACGGATTCCTGACAGACGCGGAAGGTTGTGGTAATGGAGATATCGCGTCGGGTCCATAGAAACCCTATAAGGATTGTGAAGACCTCTTGTGCAGCATGGATTCTGGAGACGATGTCGTCCTTATTTTGTCCATCTGGCAGTAGCCTCTCGAGGTCTTTGGAACAGTCATTGACCTAGAGGGGAACGAAAAGCAAAAGCACCTTGGTCCTGTGGGCGTCTATAGGTAAACTGATCGGTCTGATGATCTTGTTCGTCCACGGTATCGTGGTCAGTAGGTCGTCAATAGTTGAGGCAGGGCAGCTAGGAAAATAGCGGTCTTTACAACGTTTATAGATAAGCCGACCGAAGTAGCGACTTCATTTACCCCTGATATCACAGACTGTAGACCAACAGAGTATGCGGTTGGCGAAGCGATATCGTCGGCGTAGGCCAGATCAATCAGCCGGCGTCCGGTAACAAACTCCACACCGTCAAAATCCTGTAGGGCCTTTCGGAGAATCCAGTTAGTGGTGTGACAACAGGAAGCAACCTTGTCGGGACAGACTGCTGCCGGCGGCAACTCGCGCAGTGGTGGAGATATGGTGGACTCCGATCATGGCGATGAGATATGCCGACATACCGTCTATTTTCATCGTCCGCCATCGGGACTCATGATAGACGCGATCCAACACTTCGGCTAAATCAGCAAGGCAGGCGGCCGTCGGTTGGTGCAAACCATGACAGAATTCCAACATTCGCCGATGTGTGAATTTGATTTGCGCATTTACGCCCAGCTCGGAAGCCAGCTTGGTTGGGTCTCGTCCATGAGTCACGCACACTGTTCGACCATCGTGTCCGACCATGTCCACCGTGTGCTCCACACCAAGGTGACAGCAGGGACGGCGACTTAAGAGTAGACTTGCGCAGCATCTACCGCACCCTCTCCTCCACCACCTGGATTCGGTGCCAAGACAGAGTCAAGAAGACCGGAGGCGGGGAAGGGCCAAGGAGCATGGCACGGTCGAGCCCGCACCTTGGCGTTTCATTCCACACCCCCTGGTCCACACAGCGAATGACCTGGTTTTTGACCAACAACGATGGGGGGGGGGCGGCAGGGGTCACAGTGTGCGCGATGTCTGCAGGGCAACCGGGTCTGCCACCGCACCCCAAAATGTCAACATTTGTTATGGTGCGCAAATCCGATAACGCCTGCTAGAATCCGATGTGGCCTCCGTGTTGATCCAGCGCATCCACCGCGTGGCCCACTTTGAGGGGCACACACTCCAAATACACTGAATGATCGACTTATTGAGGTCTACTGAGAAAAATTTGCGTTTCGAAGACTAGAGCACTAGATCTCGTCCTGTCTATAACCAGTTAATTTGGGTCGCATCCTCACGTTATCACAAAGTCGGGTCAACAAGTCAGAAATAATAAATCCCTCTTGTACACCTAGTCATGTTTCACCATTCATCGCTATATCAGTGCCCTCCAACTGTTAGAGAATGGGTAACGAGATGTGATCATGGAGACTTCACCTGTCTTGTGTGGGAGGCGGGGAGTCGGATGGTCATAAACCGTAAGAATGTATTTGTAAGTAACTCGAGTCTGCTTTCGGCTATCTATGAATAAATGGATGTATTTTAAAATGCAGAAAAATATTTACGCATCTAGGACGCCTTATTGAAGTGGACATATTTAATCCACCATCGGATTGAGTGTCGCATAGCAACCACCCTCACACACACAAGAATGATGGCGCATTAATATTCGTGGACATTTCGGGGGAGTTTGGTAGAGCTCTGTATGCCCCCAGACAATGGGACCGTAGGGTCTGTGCGGTCCAGCCAAATGTAATTCGCCAAGAGAACTTGTGTACGCTGGTAACCTTTCAGGCTTCGAGAAACAGTTTAAAATTTTAGGGGAAGAACAGTTTTCCGTTCAAATACGTGAATGCTGTAGCCGGAGAAGTCCAATTCCGGGTAGGTATTTAAGAACAATAGAATCTCAATGAAGTTACACTACAAAAATGTGTTTACGGTGACAAGGCAATTATGTAACATTCCATTTAGCTGTCTTGACAAGCATCTCAGGGCTTAAATTTCAACAGCGAGAAAGATGCGGCAAGGTTGTACAATGCAGGTCTATGAAACTGACAAAAATGCAGTAGGTTGGCTAACTCATGAACTGTCAACTGAAATTCAGAAATGCGTTTTCGATTCGAAAAGATTAATTAAGTACGGCTCTAAAACTAATCAGCCTGCAGCATATTTCTATCATAATTAAGTTACCTCTGGATGTCAGCTTTCGAACGAACTTCTTGTTGGCTGCATGCAAATACTACACTCTGTAAAAAATGACTACTTAGGTAGCATGCATTTTCTCATTGATTTTCGATGCCCTTAAAGGTCTAATTATATTTCATGGAAAGCATGCATACAAATATTCATTCTTTTGCTCATTCGGTAGAAAATTACGTCTTCTTCTAATTTTATATTCGAAGGAGGGACATAATTCGGTTTTAAAAAAGTTTTTGATTGGATAACTGTTAAATACCGTGAAATGGCCGTTCATAAATCGGCATGTTTCTGCATTTACGAATGTGCCTTGTAAAGTTAACAATATGGATCAAATCCACTGCTAAATTATGAACCCAATATGGTCTCCTGTCAATACCATAGAGAAATGTATGGTTTTCCGTGCACGGAAATTATGCGGCTTGTAGTTTGGAAACCCTGAATGCAAGTGTAACGTCAGAGCGGGTTCAAAATTATTCGGCAATTGTAAAAGTTTTTGAAAACGGGACGTTACCCTTCCTTCGAGTATAGGATTGGAAGAAGACGTGATTGTCTACCGAATGAGCAAAAGAATAAATATCTGTATGTATGCTTTCCATGAAATATAATTGGACTTTTGGGGGCATTGAAAATCAATGAGAAAAATACCTGCGGTCCAGCACACTGAAATTAATCGAGCAGGGCGATAACGAAGACCCTTGCCGAAACGTCGGTGAGGCTTGCGTCGCGCCAGTTCTCGGGCTTTTTCTTATCTCTCTTCTTGAAGACAGGCACAACATGAACGCTCGACCTACAGCCATCAGGAACTAACTCATTTCCCCACGAATGCTCAACCACCTCATATACCCAGGGCGCAAGGGCGTTGACACATGGCCTGTAGATTCCAACGGCTCTTCTAGAGCGTAAGGATTGTAAGCGTCTGCTATGTCATGATTCAGCAAACCACGGCCCTCGCAGCCTGGTGTGTGCCGGCAGTTCTCCGGCGCCTGGTTCCATGCTGGTAGATGCGCTTGCGTTCCGGTAGGTCGTGAGCATGGTTGTTAAATCATCCTCCTCGTTCTGACTCGTTTTTGTTGGTTAAAATCCTGGTCAAGTGTTTGTTGTGGACCAGGGGTTGCGGTGGTATGCTCAGGTGCGGGTCGACCGTGCCAGCCACCTAAGCCTTCTCCCGCCTCTGGTCTACTTGACTATGTCTTAATGGCGCGCCCAAGGAGGGAGGAGGAGAGAGTGCGGTAGATGTTGCGCATGCCTACCCGCACAAGTCACCGTGCCTGTCTCACCTTACTGTGAGACGCACGATGGACATCGTCCGGCACGACGGTCGAACCTTCAGATTTCAACGAGGACACCGTCCTCTTCGGGCGTCTTGTTGTTGTGTTTCCTCGGGAGCTTCTCCTTCAGGAGGGGAAGTTTTGCAATGATAGGGGGTCGCTCACCGATCGTTCCTGCGGAACTCACTTGTTCCGTTATGCCTTACGGGCCCTCTCTCGAGCCGAACCAACAGCCGCACAGCGGCGCATGATATAGGCAGAAAGGCATTACCGACAAAGACATGTGGGACTGGAATGGCTATTTATGGCTTATTAGCCGTCGTCAGCCAATCATACCCTACCCCGAAGTGTGGAACACCCCGAGGCGGTAATAACATACGGCCTATATCATGCGCCGCTGTGCGGATGCTAGTTGGGCTCGAGAAAGAGCTCGTAAGGCATAACGGAACGAGTGAGTTCCGTAGGAACCATCGGTGAGCACTCCCTACCATTGTATATTCCCGATCGAAACCGACAGCGCAACGGACTCGTGGCCCAGTGGTTAGAGGCGTTTGACTTCTAACTAACAGGTCACGAGTTCGAGCCTCGGATGTTTCACACTTCGGAGTTGGGTATGACTGGCTGACGACGGCAAACAAGCCAGAAATAGCCATTCCATTCTCCCTCGTCTTTGTTGGCAATAACATACTGTGAAGTTTCGCCTCAACTTATCACTACAATAATCGAAGAATCTGCATTCATCACTGTTCCTGCACCATAGCGTTGTAAGAATTCTTCTCTGTACACTTTGCTTGCCTCGGGACGCAGGCGCCCCCTGCATCTCCATCGTTGAGCTCGACCGTAGAATTCCAAGGAAGCTGTGTGCCCCCTCTGTTGTGTAGGGCTAAACTCGAGTCCGGCGCCACGAGGTTTTCCCAGCCAGCTTAGCCGCCCACTCCGGCACTGATCTGTGCTACCTCACTGTGCAGGCCCCCACCCTACTTTGGCCCACCGGCTGTCTGTACAAGCATACAGCCCGTCTTGAGAACAACTGTCTCACAAAAAGTTTCTAATTAAGCTTTGTGCGTACCTCCATCCCCTCAATCTACAGTCGTGTCCTCATCTGTAGTCCGGAAATGAACATGGTGAAGTCTGTTGTCAGTAGTTAGATGAAAAACGCGTATTTGCGCGGGACGTGGCACGCTCTGTCTTTGGTTCACGGGCACTCGCGTGCAGTACGTGACCCATCTCAGGAAACTTGATTACAGAAACTTATGTGTGAGTTTTCGGACGTCTTAAACATGGTGCATTTTGCTCGTTCGCCCAGCTTCTTGTGCAGAAAATGTGTCCATTTAATTTTATTGAGCAAAGTGCTCACAAATTTGATCGAAAATGGACGTTGCGATATATTCGAGCAATCCCCTACGCTAATACCCGTCCAAGACTTCGGTTACTCATCCGAGCATGTTTTCCTTCGAGAGATTTTCACTAAGCAAATCTTGCCACACTTGAAAATCGATTTTTTGTCCAGTGCTAACCATGGGGTCAACTTGTTAACACACTGGTTACTTTAAGAGAGCCAGACTTTTATCGATTCTTAGAAGTCAGATAAAGTGCAGTATTAAAATGATGGGCTGAAATTGCGTTGCCGTTTGGAAGATTATATCGGTTTTCACAGAAAAGACTACCACCAAACAGTCATTTTCAGTTTTGAACATATAGAATGCCACTTTTTGTGCGATCTAGCTTATATACTTATGTAATTTAGAAATGGAACGATCAAAACATTAACAGTTTCAGCAAAATATCAAAATCTACGTGGCCACTCCGCCGCGCATTAATAATCGCAGATCGGAGTTTAATAAGGAGCAAAAACAGTGCAAATGCCCGCAATAATATGAGAAAGGCACGTTCTTACGTCTACGGTAGAAAAGTACCAGTATTTTGGCAAAGCGAAGGAAACGCCAGAAGCGTCGGATTTTTTCTTGGCTCCACCACACATTCGCTGCTTTGGTAAATGCCTTCAAGAAATATCTTATTCTAGAGCTTTTGACAAACACATAAACTAGAATCTGTCTGTATGGGTAATCGATCGAAAACACAGAAAATCGTAAAGTATTCAGCGATATATCAAGGTCGACCTGTAACTCAACGTAACCCAAAATAAAGGAAATGTGCTAATTAGTTTCATGGTAGAAGAAGTCCCGTCACATGCTCAAAATGGTATGTTTGCGATTAAACCTATAAATCCTATTTGAATTTTTCAGTTACTGACCCGTCTGGCAATATGTGTCCTTGTTAAAACTCTTGTTCCTATGACGTCCTTACTGGCGAAATCATGTTTGACTTATTGGACCTCATATTAATCAATTCAAAAGCGCAAAAAATACCACGAATCCTCGGGAAACCGTTGAGCTGTATTAACGTGTTTAATTTAATTTGAGTAGGTTTGTATACATCAGAAGTAATCCTCGCGGTTCGTTGTCGTTAACAGCGCCTGCTCCCTTCCCCGTCTGATTGGCGTCCAGTCGAGCACGGGGATAAGCATCTTCCCTGAGCTGCATTCCTGTAGTGTCTACGTATCTGATTTAAGCAACCTAGTATACATAACGAGTAATCGCCGAGGCCCACTGCCCTCAGCAGCCTCTTTTTCCTTCCTTCCCCAACCAGCCGAGTTGGTCCCTGCCACTTTCGCCTACTTCCTATATGACATTTCCAATGGACATCATAGTCCACAGTCCACCACTTGGGGATGGAGTTGCACACAGACCGGAGGCAGCCATCAGGTACTGAAACCGAAAGACCCACTGCCACGGATAGAAACGTCTGGAGTCGTCTATCGGATCTGGTGCAGTTGCGGACAAAGCAAATACGTCGGAGAAACCGGAAGACAGCTCCGAACGCGAATGGCCGAACACTCTGCAGTGGTACGGAGAAATGACGCCAGCTCTCAAGTTGCGGCTCATTCGACGAGATCCGGCCACACATTCAAATTTGACGAGGCTGAAATTCTCGCAAGAGTTGACAACCGCGTGGGCCGGGAGCTGCTTGAGTCTTGGTTTACTGGCCCCAGTCCATTAACAAGTGCAATGACCTTCCCCTTCAATACTCGGTGCTAAGACTTCGCCTAAGCGGAGTAATTAGACACGCGGGGAGCAACAGGTGAACACTTTCCCCAACACAAGAGTCAGCGCGTCAGATGGTCGAGCAATCATCACACCAACATCCGAGGCACGTGATGAAATTGCAGCAATTGACGACGCGAACGTCGGCCATCAAACAATTAGCACACCAATTGGGACGATCCCCGATGTAGGGGCGGTGGGGGAGCCTTGAATGTTCATAGGTATGCGGTAGCATGGCGACTGCATCCTATAAATACTGCAGCCCCTTGTGCATGAATCACCCGTATCTGCTGTTGGCTCTGGTGATGGGTTCGAGCAGGAATGAAAAACTTCAGGCTAATAAAGTTTTTGTCCCAGCGATCGTGTCTCATTCAAGTTCATGGTCTGTTTCATGCTGGTCACCGAAGAGGTCGCCGGAAACGTCCTTTGTTCTCTGTGTTGCCGGCTGCGTCAAGCTGTTAGCGGTGAGCCCTGTTGGCGACAACGCCAGGGAAGGCGCACTTTACCCTTGGGAAGCTGCCATCCACTGTTTTCGCTCCGTCTCCTAGATTTTTGTTTCTAATCTAATGAATGGCGCCTAGACCGTCGTTGTTGACTCATACCTACCTAGATTTGTCTTGCGCACTTCCGAGGTCGGGCATCGTTGTAATAAAGGGGATTTTCTGCTAAGGGGCAACAGAATCAGACAGTGGATGCCAGTGAGCTTCCTAGTGCCTCGTTGGTTTTCTGTCAGTCAGCCACTAGGTTGGCGGGGAAGCGCTCACTGTCTCATCTCCCACGCCGTTGCCAATGTCGCAGACATTTGTCCTTACCTATTTCCTAATGCAGCTGCAGGCCACGAATGGTAAGATCTGATGTTTCAGTTTATGCTGTCTTGCCGTTTGCGCTGATTTTCTTGTCTTCAGTCGGTTTCCTATTAATCGCCTATTCGGTTGCGTGAATGCGCTCACATAGACACCCTTCGAGTGGCGATATAGTGTGTCTACCTAAATCAAATAAGTAGATACTCTGTTGAAATATAGTTAAGAAGGTGGGGGGTACTTATTCCTATGGACAACCCTGAAAGACGTCTTACCCGTACTGCGTCTACAAAAACTCCCAAATATTAACACTGCGGTCCTAGATATATCTGTCCTCAGGAAGCTCAGCTTGAAGGATGGAGCCGTCGTCGAGTAAGATTGGCCACACTAGTAAAGTTCCCTAAGTTGTGCTGGCACATCTATTCCCAAACGTTTCAACATACCTCCCCCCCCCCGTGATTCGGCCTCCACAGTTTGGGAGTCTCGAGCACAATGCAGCATCAAGAAACGAGCCCAAGTCCAGTGAAAATAAGAGGAAAGCGGCGAGGGGCGGATTTAATCGAAGACTCTCCTATACATGCATATATTTGAGAGTAACTCGGAGACCACCAAGGTCGGCAACAAAGCAGCGGGGGGTGGGGCGGGGGAGCAGCAGAAGAGGTATCAGCAAAAAAAGAGGAGAGTTTAATGAGGGTGGCTAAAATACCGTAAGGAGGGCAAAGACAGCATAAACAAGGGCACAGGGGTAACCGACCAGAAACTGCTGCTGTTGCATATTCAACGCCCGCACAAACAGCTTGCTCGAGGACATGGCGCACCAGAGGACAACGAATACAATTAGAACGATTCCAAGGAGCGACCTACGGAGGAAAATGGAAGTAAAAGTAAGAGAAACAGCGTAAAGCAGCCTGGAAGTGGGCGGTGGGGATAAAAACCGCCGCGAGGGGAGAGTCGCTCTTATACTGAGGTAGGCCGCATTTTCAGCTTTGGTTTAGACGATGGCAGTAATACTGGCGATGGCGATGCTTAAAGTGACAGTGAGGGTGCTAGGAGGACGCCCTGAGAACGTCCGAACCCCATTGTCAACACTCAGCTCCGACGCGGACTGGCCTTGTTGGACACTTCAAGACTCACCGCAATGTCCGCACGACCAACCAGTAAGCCGCGCAACAAAAGGTCATTACTAGGTAAGCCACTACAGTAGGAGTGGTAGTGTAAGCAACAATAGGAGTTGTAGTGGTAGTAGTAATAGTAGTAGTGGTAGTAGTAGTTGTTGTTTTTGTAATAGTAGTAGTGGTAGTAGTAGTAGTAGCAGTAGTAGTAGTAGTAGTAGTAGTAGTAGTAGTAGTAGTAGTAGTAGTAGTAGTAGTAGTAGTAGTAGTAGTAGTAGTAGTAGTAGTAGTAGTAGTAGTAGTAGTAGTAGTAGTAGTAGTAGTAGTAGTAGTAGTAGTAGTAGTAGTAGTAGTAGTAGTTGTGGTGGTAGTAGTAGTAGCAGTAGTAGTAGTGGCTTTTACGTTAGAAATTTGAGGCGTCAACAGAAAATATCATAGGCAATGAAGAGGTACACCAAAATGGCAGGGTATAGAGGAGGAAGTTAACTCACTTTAGCGAAAATACGATGCCCAGAGTAGAGAGGAAACACATTGGCAGAAGGCAGTATCCAAGGACAGATGCGACGCAGGTAGGCGCCACGCCGTCCACCGTCATCATTGTGAGAAGAAGGTACATTCCCAAACAACTGAGGACACCGAAACCGTAGATATAGTTGAAATGCACCTTTCCGCCCTGTCAGAAGTACCCGTGAGACAAAGGCTATCAATCAACTTCAGGTTCGAGACATAGAGAAAGCATGAGTGCATGTTCGTGTCTGTACTGGGCTAGGAAGACGGACAGAAGGCTCAGGAAACCCACAAGTGACGGATAATGGGAAAGCCTTTGGCGAAGACTAGCCCCTAGGTCCGAGGAATAGGATTTCGACAGTAAGGCAGTCGTTGTCGACGATGTCGACCGTGTGCTCCACAGTGTGGTGGGCGCAGGGGCGATGACTTACGCGTGAGTTGGTTTACAATGCTAGTGAACTTACACCGCATCTACCGCACGCCCTCCTCTTCACCCACCTGACTTCAGTGTCATGGCAAAGTCAAAAATACCGGAGGCGGAATCGACTGTGCAGGCGGCTGGCGCGGCGGGAGCCTGCACCCTGGCGTGTTGCTATCCCCACCCCATGTTTGGCATTTGTTATGGGCAGGCATCCCCAGTAACTCCTACCGTGCCCTGATCTGGCCCTCCCCCGTGTTTGTCCGGCACATCCACTGCGTGTCCCATCGCGGGCAAGCGACAGTATCCTCAGAGGTAAGCGTGGTGAGTGGCGTCCCACAGGGCTCAGTCTTAGGTTCCACGTTATTCCTCGTCTTCATAAATGACTGCGTCAAGGACCTAGACTGTGATGCCATCCTGTTTGCCGACGACATAAAATTGTGGAGAGTTATTCACAATGCGGCAGACGCAGACCACCTGCAAGCAAACTTGAACAGGCTCGAAGACAGGTCGAAGCGCTGGCTTATGCCCTTCAAAGTAAGCAAGTGCAACTTCCTTCAACTCGAAATCTTCAGAGCCTTCAGCCCCAGGACTTACTTTCTACACGGCACATCATCGCAACAGGTTGACAGTCGGAGGACTTGGGTGTATGGATTACATCTTCACTCAAACCAACACTGCACTGCGCGAAGGCGGCTAAATCGGCTACGGCTACATTGCAACTCATTAGGCGAGCCTTTATGGGATTTGACCCTGACTGCTTTTCCAAAATATTTGGCACCTACGTGCGGCCACATCTAGAATACACCATACAGGCGTGGAGGCCTTGGACTGCCAGGGACTACACCGTCTTGGAGAAGGTCCAGAGACGGGCGACCAAAATGACACAAGGTCTGGGAGCACTGCCGTATGAAACCAGACTGTCAACTTTCAACCTAATTCCTCTTTCCTGCAGGCAATTACATGGTGACCTTATGCTAACATTTCGCATTGTCAACGGCCTAGGCTGTTGTTTAGAGCCCACTGATTATTTCACTCAAGCTAACACGCCCACTTTGCGCTATCATCACCTAAAACTACGCGCAGGGAAAGCAAGGATCAATGGACGAAAGTTCTTTTCAGTAACAGAGTGGTTACAGCGTGGAATTCCCTGCCTACCGATGTTGAAACCTCCTCCTGTGTGAATTCCTTTAAGTTTAGAGTTGATGCGTATCAAGCTTCCCACTTACCAGCCTCACATCAACTCAAATAACCCGGCACCAACTTAAACATGTTTATACTACTTGTAGTTAGTAAGTACCCGTTAATGATTACACTTTTTCTACTAACTGTCAGCTGTCCGCGATTATGTACAAAATCCCGTTTTCTCAGACGACTTGTAACCAATAGGAAATTCAAAGGCGCTCGCCTCTATTTGCCTTAATAAACTGAAACTGAAACCTTCAGATGTGATTGGGCACCGATCCGAGGGGATCGGCATCACAACATCGCGAATGCTGCTCGCCCTAGAATGAGCCTTCACTTGCCGCTCAACGGGATACCAGAGGTCGCAAGCTTGTGTGCAGAAATGGAGGGGGGGGGGTGGAGAAATCCGCTTTCCAATCCACGAACAGCTGGACACCATTCCTCAAGCAAGCTGACACAAACACACACAAAACCCTTTCTGGCGCACTGGTGATGAAATGGGTTTTTGGGAGTTTCAAGGACTAGGGACCGTCCGCTCTGGCTGGACTTTCCTAGAACCGGAACACTTTCCTGTCCAGGAACAGCAACCAATGGAGTTGTAAACTAAGCGGGTTCCTAAACGGCCTTGAGGGACAACTAGTTTGACTTAAAATGGCAGAAGACGACGGCGAGGATGAGGAGGAGGAGAAAGACAAAACGCCATAGTACTGTGGCTGGAGCTGCGTAATTAAATAAACCGAAAATATTCGGCGCAGCGGTTGGCTGTTTCTCCTATAGACTGCTCCTGTCTGCATATATTCCACACTAATTAGATTACGGGCTACGGCAGGAAAAAAAGCTGATGCGTATAATGAAACCGCAGAAGCCTAAGAGTAGACAGGTAATGATGCGGGATCGACAGAGCGAATCTGAATGCAAATTGCGAGTCAGCCAAGAATCACCCGCCTGAAGGAAACAATTACTGCGTTCGTCTTTCTCCGTGAGATTACGATCAGATAGGGGAGAAAAAACCAAGTGACCCAAGAGAAGATTACAACTCAGTCCGGTCTCACTGTCAGTCAATTCCCAAGTGCAATCGACTCAGAAAGAGCGGAGGTTCAACAGTAGAAAATGCACCCCAAAGGCCGACTAGGATTAGACGAAATTTCGCAGGGAGACACCAATAGGCTGGGTTAGAGTCAAATTGGGGTGAGTATTTCTCAACCAAACCAGGTCTCCGACAGGGTCCATGTTAGTCTTGCACTTGTACGGCTGCGATCATGCCTGATCTAGCCGGCCTCGATGATGTCACGAACTGTACCTCTCCCCGAACTGTGTCGAGCCAGGTTTTTAATTGACCCCCTCTTCGACGCCTCCAATGGGGCAACGGTGCCGGATCGAGGGCAGTAACACTGAGCTCCTGAGGTGGACGACGAAGAACATGCCCGAAACACCTCAGTCGTCTTTCCTGGCTGGCCTGAATTATCCTTGCGATGTTGTCGCAGCGAGCGCGGACTGTCTCATTTGAGACGAAGTCAGTGAACTTCACTCGAAGGATGGTCCTCAAGTGGTGGTGGCCAAATGCCTCCAGTTTACGCTTGTCCTCCACACGCAAAGCCCAGCATTCACAACCGCAGAGAAGGCCAGATCAAACAGACGCACGGCACAGGCGAGTCTTAATGGCGATGGAGAGGTCACGTCGGTTCCACAGGCATTTCCGAAGGCTTGAGAAAACCCAGTGGGCAACATCAATTCGGGAGACAATGTCATCCTTACTCTGTCCATTAGGCAGCAGCCTCGCCCCGAGGTATTTAAAACTGTCTACTTCTTCAAGTTGACAGCTATCAATCCCGAGGGGTCGCTTCTCCTGGTCAGGGATGCAGCTTGAAAACACTTTAGTCTTCTCAGCGTTTATGGATAAACCGACCGATTTAGCGACCTCGTTCACCCGTGACACCATAGACTGCAGATCACCAAAACTTGAAACAAGTAAGGCTATATCATCGGCATGGTCGAAATCAGTCAGTCGGTGTCCGGGTGCAGACTCAACGCCGTTACCCTCGCGTAGGGCCCTCTCGAGGATCCAGTCAATAGCATAGTTGAACAGAATGGGTGACAGGATACAACCCTGTCGAACGCCAGACCAAATACCGAACGGTTGGGAAAGATTGCTGCGGACCAGGACTGTCGCAGTGGTGGAGCGATAGTAGGCCTTGATCATGGCGATGATTTTTGCCGGTACACCATCTAGCACCCTTATCCGCCACAGGGACTCACGGTGAAAGGAATCAAATGCGGCGGCAAAGTCAATACAGCAGACGGCCATCGGTTGTTGGTAGCTATGGCGAAATTCCAGAATGCGGCTCAGTGTGAATATCTGGTCTGCGCATCCACGTCCGGCATGGAATCCGGCTGGGTTGGGCCTCGTCTATGAGTCACGCACAGCCTGGGATCGCCTGAGTAGGACAATAGCACGTGGCACGCACCTACTGCAATTCCCCCCCCCCTCATCTGCCTTGCTCCGACGGGATCGAGGCTCGGCGCGGACTCAGTGGCTGGCACGCGCCAGACTCACGTGTCGTGGATTTATCGTAGTAAGAAATGCGCTGATTTTCTGTGCGGACGGATTCCCAGTGCTGGCTGCACTATTTCCTCCCTGTCAGTCAAGTATCGACGGGACTGGACCGGTGACTGACAAGGCTAGACAGCCCGTCTACGCGTGCCACACACATGACCCGGTCTCAACACTGGGCAGCAGGCTCGCGCCGGTAAAACACTTGAGCATAATGCGAGACCAAAACTACTTGAAGTCTACGGTCGTCGTGGGCAGCTCGTGAGATATAACTCGTTAGTTCGTGAGAACATTACCATTTACGTCAAGTCCCGCGCAGGTGGTGCAAATCTGGATTTGGGCAGAGCTGACTGACTGACGACGTCTCAGAAGCCAGAAAGGGCCATCTAAGGACGTATTCCTTGTCTCCATGTCCCATAACCCAGTCGGTGGACGCATTACCACTATAAGCTAGCATTCCCTATCGAAAACCATAGGACAACGGAGCTGTGGCTCAATCGGTAGGGCTGGTGGTCGCTACTGCTTGCGATAATAAGTTTTTTTTCACAAAAGCGAAAGGTGAAAATGTGATTTAATGCGAGTGACATTTGCCAAGAAATTATCAAAGCATGCAGTCAGCGACCAAGCTCATGAAATGTTAGCCGAAATTCTAAGCTGCACTTTCAAGTACGGTTACTTAAGTCGTGTTGTAGTATTAATTATTGCACAGAATAATCCTAAGGTATTTTTCGGTCAATCCGAGATGTCGGATTTTGAATGCGTTTCTTTTTGATCCCATGTAAAAACCACATTCGGTAAAAAATGACTACGGACGTAGTATAAATCGCTCTCTCATTTTCCGATGCCCTTGTATAAGTGAAAACACACTTTATAGAAAGCACATTCAAAAATATCTTACTCTATACATGTTTAGTAGCAAATCATGTCTCCAGATTTTACACTCGAAAAAGGGCATATCTAGGTTTAAAAAACGTTGTTGAGCCCGATCTTTCGTTGCATTTGCGTTTAAGGTTTTTCAGCCTAGAAGCTGTGCTTTACATGTAAGAAAAATTATATATTACTCTATACTATTGGGAAAATATCACCTAAAGCTCATGAAACTTTGCAATGGATGTGGACTGTTCCGTATACTTTCTAAGGGGCGTCGGTATTTGAATGGGTATTCCACGTTCTTATAGAATCTCATAATAACAAACATTTTTAAAGGAGAAAGATACTCACTTTTCATGTAAAACATTTGAGGAAGACGTGATTGGCTATTAAATGGGAACAAGGATATCTTTGCGCATTTTTTCCATAAAACGTGTTTAGATTTATAAGAGAACCAAAAGTCGATGAAAAATCATAATATGTAAGTACAGTAAGTGGGCTAACTCATTAAATCTCAACAGAAATTCCGAAATGCCTTTTCGTTTCGAAAAGATTAATTAAGTAGGGTTGCAATACTAATCGTCGTGCAGCGTAGTTCTATAATAATGTAGCTAGCTCAGGATGCTGGCTTTCAAACAACCTTCCTTCCGGCCGCATACAAAAATCATGCCCTGTAAAAACTGAATACTTAAGTGGCTTGCATTTTTCTCATTAGTTTTCGATGCCCTTAAAAATGCAATTATACTTCATGGAAAACACGCATAAAAATATTCATTCTTTTGCTCATTCGGTAGAAAATTACGTCTTCTTCCAATTTTATACTCGAAGGAAGGGTATAATTCGGTTTTGAAAAACTTTTCCAATTCCCGAATAATTTTGAACCCGACCTGCCGTTACACTTGCATTCAGGGTTTCAAAACTACAAACCGTATAATCTCCGCGTACGGAAAACCATATATTTCTCTACGGTAATAAAGGGGGACCATATAGAGTTCATAAAATTAGGCAGTGGAGTCGAGCCACTTTGTTAACTTTGAAAGCCACGTTGGTAAATGCAGAGATATGACGTTTTATGAAGGGCCATTTCACCGTATGAAAAAATCTCACAATTAAAAACCTTTTTAAAACCGAATTATAGCCTTTCTTCGAGTGTAAAATTGAAAGAAGACGTAATTTTCTAGTGAATGAGCAAAAGAATGAATATTTTTATGCATGTTTTCCATGAAATATAACTGAATCTTTAAGGGCATCGAAAATCACTGAAAGTGCATGCTACTTAAGTAGTCATTTTTATGGTATGGTTTTTAGCTGCAGCCGGAAAGAAGTTCGTTCGAAAGCAGGCACCCTGAGGTAACTGAATTATTATAGAATTATACTGCAGACTGATTAGTTCTACAACCCTACTTGATGAATCTTTTCGAAACGAAAAGGCATTGCGGAATTTCTGTTGAGATTTCATGAGTTAGTCCACCTAATGTAACCAATTTTTACCAAGAGCGATTTTCGCAGGTGGCCGACATCCTAACGTGACCAAAATACCTCTGGATTGTGCTGTATGATAACCAATATTAAAACCCCACTAAAGTAATCCTTACGAAACGAGAACGTATTAAAAAAGTTTAGTTAACATTACACGAACTATGCTCGACTGCCTAGGCTGAACCAAGGCGTAACGGGGCGGCACACTGATCGATAAAGGCCTTTTCAATTAAAATATATGCATATATATACATAGAATCATTACCAAAAGAAGCGTGCCACCGAATATGAGGCAGAAAACCAGCGGACCCGCGAGATCGGTATCCTGAAGCACTTCAATGGGGCATTCGCGGAGAGGATTAAGCACATTCAGGGTCTAGAAAGTGCAAAAACATAGAATCATGCAATTTAAACAAAAAAACTGCCCTCGCAATGCAAGTGATACATGGTGGTCATTCGCATGCCACATTTACTGTGTGCATGAGGATGATGGCCCAGGTTAACGTTAACTGTGACGGGAGTCCGTGGACACTGACTGTTAGGGAAGCCAACGACGATAGACAGAGGGGCGTGACGACATGTCTTACCGCAACCACTTTCATTGAAACGTCGGCCAGTCAGACGGTGACACGAAGAAATTACCCAGATGCGATGTGGACCGCTCTTAGCTCATAATGCTGTGCGCTGAAAGATTTCTTTGCGTAGAGCCAACAGTTCAAACCCTCTAGTCCCGTGTAGTACGGCGTCGCAGTACAGTAAGGTATCTCCCAGCAGGACACAGGAGACGGCTTCGATCGAATATTCTTCGTATCACAGATCAATAGCCACTTTCGTCCGTCGAAACTGCTGCACTGGAGTCTACTAGCGTTGTCTGATGAGGCGAGAAAGCGGGTTCTACTCTGAGACTTCCCCTGCTCGTGGGCGAAGCATGGGTGGTCGGTGATTCCACTCAGGCAACCCCCCCCCCCCACCCCTTCCTGTCTTCGTCATGGTGGGCGTCGGCACGCAGGTGAGTGTATTCCCAGCCACAACTGGTAAAATCTAGACTTCGACTGGTGTCTTCTCTAAGCACCCACCTCAAAGCCAAATCTCCGATCAACTGACCAAAGACGGGGCAAGAATCTGACCAGTCAGCTGGCAGCCGCCACGGGGAAACCGCAATAATAACCGCCTGCGCAATAACCCTCGAGGCATGCGGCACCTCCACCCCCCAAGATCCACCACAGTCCAACCCAAATAGCCGCTGACGTCAGCTCGCATGCACGCCCGGTGGGGTGGAGAGAGGGGTTAACCGCGTAGCTAACTCAGCCCTACACCATTGGGATTGACTAAAACCAGTACTCGTCTACTCTACTGATAGCCGTACGCGTGCACATCTGTCCCGAGGCGGCCAAGAAACCCTCCCCTCCGCCCCCTGACACAACGATGGCGAGCGAACGTCGCCGTTTGCAGTCCATCATCTGAACCAATCAGAATACCCGATCGTGGCTAGCCGGGGATGGTGTTGGTAGGGCGCAAAGTGGAGGGGGGGATCAAGCATGCGCACGCGCCCTGATCAAGTCAAACGCAGAGACGAACTCAGTGCGATGTCATCATATCAGCGTCGCATGGAGAGGACAGCTGTCAGTGGGTTTTTGCTGTTGGTAGGAACGCTGGCAGCCACTAGGTGTCCCCCGATGCCAAGCACGGGACGCTACGCCTGCCGAGGACAGGGCCTGAAGGAGGTGCCTGCACTGATCGGTGAGCCGGAGAGGGCAATAGATGACCTCGATGTCTCTAACAACTCCATTGAGATCCTCCATGCGGATTCCTTCAAATCCTACCCAGCGCTGAGGATCTTACGACTGGAAAGTAATCGTTTGTGGAGGATCACCGAGGAGGCGTTTCGCAGCCTGCCTCACCTCGAGCAGCTCTACTTGAGGGGGAATCAATTAGCCATTCAGCCTGGCGGTCTTGACACAAGGGCTCTAGCTACCCTAGGTGGTCTGCGCGTACTGGACCTATCCGAGAATCCCATTGGTTACCTGCCGGGGCAGATTTTCAAATCCCTGGTGAATCTGGTGGATCTACGGCTTGAGACTATGGTGCGCGATGTCACCTTCCAGAGGAATTGCTTCGAGGGCATGACGGCACTTCGGAGACTGAGTCTGGCCCACAATAAGTTCACCACGCTGCCTGCATTCCTGGCCGAGGAGCTGGGACGCCTGCCGAGGTTGAAAGAGGTGAGACTTGAGGGCAACAGTTGGAACTGTGATTGCCATCTCGGCTGGATCAGCGCGAATCTGCGGTGGAGATCTGGCGAAGATGAGGCGGCGGCGTCGTCAGCGGGGAGTGAACCGCGTTGTTCACAGCCTGATGCTCTTGCCAATCGACCTCTCTTCTCCCTGCCGCACAGTGAGTTTCAATGCGCCCCAGTGGCCCTCAACGGGGAAACCACGCAGGTCCACGAGGCGGAGGTCGGCGCCACCGTGACCCTAGTCTGTAACTTTCATGTTCAACCCCGAGGCTACATCCGTTGGTACAAAGATGATCAGGTGATTGAGCGACAGACCGGCTGGCAGCGGTTGAAGCATCAGCAGCAGCAGGAATCCACGATGCAGGCCGACAGGCAGTTGCTACTACAGCAGACCAACCTTACCCTCCTCAGCGTCCAACCGGGAAGGGATGATGGCTTATATATGTGCGAAACAGGCAACAAGCGTGGAAAAGCCTCCGTGCTGTTTCCCCTGAAAGTTGTCTACCCGGACGGGGAGGCGAGAGTGGCCCGTTTGGCGGCCAACAATGCTCTCCTCTTTGCCCTCATCCTCGGCGGCAGTCTGGTGATGATCCTCGCAGCCGCCATTGTGGCTGTGCTCTGCTACCGCAAAGCCAAGGCCGCTGAGGGTCGGTCGCGCCTACTGACGACATCGTCGTCCGCGCCGGCAACACCTGACGGTCTCTACGCGTGTGGGACTAAGGTGGAACTGAAAGAGGACCGCGGCGGGACAATCACACGGCTACTCGGAGAAGAGGAACAACAGGGAGGCCGGAGCGGCGCGCTGCAGGAACAGCCGGTGGAGCACGGACTCCTACTAAACAGACTCTACGTCGGATGGACTTCTGAAGAGCAGGAGGTGGTAGCGGTTCACTTTTGGGAGAGGGAGGCAACGAAGGGGAGGCAGGAGGAGCATCCGACGGGCGAAAACCGTACACAATATCATGCTCCGTACTACCTACGCACCGTTAAAGTGCACAGCATGGACGGTGATTAGGAATGCCAGGTGATTGACTTGCAATTTATTTCATCGATTTGGCGCATAATTCTGACCTTAAACTATACATATATATGTATATGTATATATATGTATAAAGTCAGAAGAGGGGCAAACATCCGTTGCCCTCAAAGAAGAATCCGGATGGTAGAAGTGACGAACTTTTATGCAAAACTACAAAGACGAGAATAAAATGATACGCATGAGAGCCTAGTTTTTTTTTCTACGGGACTTACTGAGAGCGTGTTGTCACTCTAAGGGCCAAAAATACATGCCCTCGGGCAAGTAGAGAGATTAGACTAGAGGAAAACTGGTTTAGGCTTAACAAAATAGTTATTTCGTCTGTCTGAAACGGCGAAGCCCATCAATGGCCAGGGGAGGGCGCAGTTCCGTGTTGCGCCTAAATTTGATCTCAGTGCTGCGCCTATTCCCACCCCCACCATGGTCCAATGATAAGGCAGTGCGGACGATTAAAGACGGGCTGTCGCGTGCTACACGCGGGCTGAAGTGGGACTCTCATCAGATTCCCGAAAATGTAACAAATGCTGTGTCTAAAGCAACAATTTCGACAGTTTAGGGCATTTTGTCGTCAAAATAACAGGTGATCTAAGCGTGCCTCTCAAACGGCTCAAATCCTTATTCAAAACATTGCGTATGAATCCTGAAGTTGGCGCATATATCCTGATAAGAAGGGAATTTCAGCCTGCGTGGCAGTCGTGGGCGCGGCTGCACCTACTTCAGTCATGCCCATTTTCAGTCTTGCCACTGGAGCATGATGTGAATATTGAAATATCCAGTAATGTATTGCATCCCGTGCCAGAACTGTCTTCGTAACTACACAGGCCAAACTGGACGCATGCTCGGGTTGAGTATATACGATTATAAGCTGGATGTACGACGAAGCGACGCATTTTAGCAGGTGGCCGCCCACACCTACGAAATGGCTCATTAGTTTAACTTCGCAGTCACCAAAATAGTCGCCCACGCTGGAAACAAACAGGCCGAGAATTGACTGGAGCTTGGACTTCGGATGAGAACTCAGTCAATCCATTTATCGAGCTGGCGCCGGTGTAGAGAGCTCTGCGCAGTCACCTCCAGTTTTGTGCCTTGGATCGATGGGTGGCTGGCACGCCCTATAACTGTCGCTTGTGCCGTTGCTGTTACTATCTGTGGCGATGGACTCCTCCACGAGTTCGAAAGCTCCGAACAATAAACAGAATATTTCGGCGTTCGATCACGCTTCTTCATGTATATGTGTGTGGAGGAAGAGGACGTTTTTCCGAAACAATCTGGTTGTACTCGTAAATTTTCAAGTTGATGACACCAGCTTGTCGTCATACGAAGTGAACTTACAACCCTACTTAATTAATCTTTTTGAAATGAAACCGCATTTCGGAATTTCGGTTGACATTCCGTGAGCTAACCCACCTACTGTGCAGGCACTGTCTCTTCTGCCCACCTCGTTGCATCCTGGGACTCAGTTTAGAGCCGTTGCATTGCGACAGGTAACATATGAGGGGGGGGGCGGGTACCAAAGAAGACAGGGGGAATGGGGTGGCCATTTCTAACTTATTAGCCGTTGACTATGAAGTGGAAGAAAATATCGCTGGGAAAAGAGCTTTATTCGCCTGCGGTTTCGGATTCCCGCTGGACGCCATCATCAGAGACAGTAGCAGACCCTTATCTGCTGTTGTCTCTGATGATGGGTTCGAGCAGGAATCCGAAATGTCAGACGAATAAACCTCTTGTCCCAGCGATCGTGTCTCCCTCTTCACGACTGCTTCCTGGGACTCGTTTTTTCACTTCTATTGGCAATATTGACTATATATCGTGAAAAAGGGATGACAGGCGTGTTGTATGGCACACAGAAAGCTAAGCGTAGAGGCATGCGGCCGGAAGTGTTTCGTTTTCCAGAGGTCAATGTCTCCAGCCCTAATCACTCCTACTAGTCATCCACCACAGTCTCGTTTGGAAAAGCTGACTATTTACATAGTAAATACTTTCCTAACCGACACTGACTGATGATACAGTACAATGGTTTAGAACAGACCAAAGGGAAGTCTAATTGCAGAGCATTTTGGAGGAACCACCACTGGTGAAAAATAGTGTGAAGAATTTGGGACACCCGTTTTCACATTAAAATTACGTGTGGCCTGTAATATCTCAAATAACCGGAATAATTAATAATTATTGTTGACGACGTGCAGACCACGCTTGTCCACCCGAACCTGCGTCGTCTGTAACTCCAAATCTACTCCACGTGAACGGAAAGGATAACCTGGCGACAATTACTTTTTCTTCCAGACACTTTGCGCCCTATCTCTGCCATGACCCAAATTCCGGGCGTCTAC